TCTTTCCCTTTGCCACTTCATTTTTCTCTAAATATATATCACCATATGATGTACTTCGTATTTTACTTCTATATTTGTTAATTGCTTGTCTCTCTCCCAATTGTAAATTTAATGTGAGGAGGGAACTTTTGACTGCTTTATTTACCACTATAGTGTCTGAAACGGCATCTAGCAGAAAGTGGATATTCAGTAAATTTTTGTTGAAGAAATAAATTCTGGTTTCCATCTGTTACTTGATTATATGACATTTGGCAATTTACATAACCACTCGAAGCCTTGATTTCCTCATTGGTTAAATAGGAATAATATCTACCTAATGAGGAGTAAATGAGATAATTTGTGTAAAATAATCAGCATGATAAGATTCTACGAATCTTTACGTGAAATTTTTGTGGACCAGATGTAGTTTGGAACTCGAGATCTTCATATTTTCGAAAAGTAATAAGGAGCATATGTTATAGATTACATAATGTCTTAGCAGGGTCTGGTAAGCAGCCCTAACCTAATAGTGCCATTTCTGCAGCAAAAGGTACAAATATCACACTTGAATGTGATAAATGAAGACTCTATAGCAGCTTCACATCAGTTCAGTTTTGCCTTTGAAATTTTGCCTCTGAAAGTTTCCAAGTCAGGTTTTTGCAGTCAAGTTAGTTACAGAATAACTTCCATTTTTCAGAACTTTATGGATGTTGGAACATGGATATGGGGTTGTGGATATGTGCCTGACACACAGTAGGTGTTCTGTACATGTCGTTCTTCTCTTTTTTTCTATCACATAGTTTCTTAACATATCTAGGAGAATGAGTCTCTACAAAGGCAGTGATCGTTCTCTGTTTTGTTCTCTAACAGATCTCAAGTGCCCTGGGATGTAGTTCATGCTCAATAAATATTATTGACTAAATAAAGGAAATGTCATGTTTATGAAATAATATTGACTTGTGTTCATATTTGTTAAGTATCTAAAGTAGAAAAATCTAATTTTAATTATTATTACTCTGAAGAAGACTGCCTAACAGATTTTTGTTGTGATTATTAAAAAATTCTATAATATTTTCAGTGTGTTCTTTTTTCCCCTTGTTCTTATAACAAATGATGAATGCTTTCATTATGAAAGGAGAGCTAAGGTTCATTTATTCCATAAATATTTACTGAGAACCCATCATGTACCAAGCACTGTGATGGCTAATAGGTTTAGTAGCGAAATAAGATCAATCTTGTCTCTTTTCTCTGAAAATTTCAAGTCAGCCTTTGCAGTTCTTTAGCTGTCAGGGAACAATTGTGCCTCAGATCCTTTTACTTCTTACTACTTCTGTCATCAGGGCTCTCATACATGGAACACATTTAAAGTTATATAGTACTCAACAAAAAATATTTAAAATGTAGCTGTATTTTAGTGAAGGAAGATGTTTAGGTCATGGGACAATGTTAGCATACAAAAGGATTAGTATTCTCTGCTCCATTCAGAGTATTTCTTTTCCTAACATACTTCAAAGACTCTGGGCTTAAATGTGGCATATTTAGGGTTATAAACATGTAAGTAATCATTAAGAGTATGTTCATCATAATGAAAATCAGGTGTAACAAATATTTTGGAGTCCATGATGTATTTTATTATGAGATTTTATCTTTCATAGAGACTGACACAAATGAATTCTCTTTAGCATTGCCTAGCTGAATTAACTTGCCTTGACATTGAAGCCATAGGGTACTGTAATTGTCTACATGCACTAAACTGTTGCTTTGATATTTGGTTAGGTTACATTATGCAACAATAAAACTCGTGGAATGCAATGCACATTAATCTTTAGCTGTGACATACTTGCAAGGAGTTTTGGAATTTATTTATGCACTTAAGAGTACTATAAAATTGTTCTTACTCTCTCATTTTAGTTACAGTGTGTGCTCTGTCCTTCATCCACATTTGTTATGAGCTTTGCTTTACTTCTCTGTAGTTGTGATAAATTGTGCCAAGGATGTTTTATGGTCAATTCTTCTTAGATTGGGAGAGGTTGGAAAAATGGTCTGTGATTGAAAAAGAGAATGGAGCAATAAACCTTAATGGGTAAACTATAACTTGATGTCGAGAAAACAGTCCACAGACAGTTCTTTATACTATTCTAGTAAATAAAAAAATAGAGGTATTACTCGGAGCTCTTCCTTGAAGTTTACTTACAATGTAACACATTCTCTTGTTTACAGCATAAACAAATGTAAAAATTACTATGAAGTACTTGGAGTTACCAAAGATGCTGGTGATGAAGATTTGAAAAAAGCTTATAGAAAGCTTGCTTTGAAGTTTCATCCAGACAAAAACCATGCACCTGGAGCAACAGATGCTTTTAAAAGTAAAGTAAACCTTTTAAAGCAATTTTCTAAGCCCTTTTCAGAATCCATTTTACAGTGTTTTAGAATATTAAATTCTGCCTTTAGACTGGTGCATTTAGAGGCCAGCATAAGCAAGCCTCCTCAAAATCCTTTAAAACTTCACTGTTAACTTGTTATGCCAAGAGCCAAACAAATGCTGTTTGGCTTCACAAAAGCAACATGTCAGTTTTGGCAAAGTTCTAAGTAACTTTTCTAGATACCCATGCATGCCTTCTAGTTTACTACACACAAGTAGTGTGATGATTATGCATGAGCTTCTAGCATGTTACCAGCTGGTTCTAGAAGAACTAAAAGCAATATATTTTCTATGAGTTTTTAAGATATTAGAGACTGTCCGGAATTGAGAAATTACTTGGAATCACTATTTGTCCAGTATTCTTCTATTTCTGTTAACTCTGGCCAATTTTTGCATATTTCATATGTAGTTCTAACTACTGTGATTTTTTTTTTCAAGAATGTTTCTTTTCTCTTGGCTAATATTTTCTTCATTTTCTTTCTTATTATTTCAGGGTTTTTTTTGCCAACTTAGTAAATAAGTGTGAGAGAACTGATTTTATAATTCATGTTTATTACAATTTATTCATAATAGTTAACTTCTGATTCATAGGAAAATGCTTAAATTTGTGATTATTTGTTCTTGTGAATTTGGCATTCATAAAGCCAATGTATGACGTTTACAGTGAAATGCTGGGGTCTTGGAATAACAGGAAGGAGATAATCATTTTAAATTTTCCTAAAAGATAGATGACTCAATTGTCATTCATAAAAATACTGTTAAAATTGTTTGCAAAACAGTTTTATTTTTTAAAAGAAGTTGGCAAGCAAAATACATTTGGGGATTATTAATATTTTCCAGTAAGAGCAGCTGCCAAAGTGGTGCTGGTGAAAGTAGACTACCTCTGTGACAGTGAGAGCTTTCTCTGTCTCCTTAGATTAAAAGTGGTGTGTTGAAAGCATAGCAAAAGCTGCTTTACTCAAAAACACTAACTTTAGCACATATCCCCCCCCAAAGTTAAAAACCTTTTTTTCACTTTCTGAATTAAAATCGTTTAATTTAAAATTTTTTGTGTTTTTAAGATGTCTAAACACATTTGGCAGTGAGTTATTTGCATGTTTGTGATCTGTTAGATGATTTCAGTATTAATTCTTCATTAATGTTAAGGATATTTAACTGCTTCTTTCTCCCATTTTTGTATTGAAGTCATGTTAGCATTATCAGTCTTAGAATAACAGTAAGTGAACCTACCAATATTTTTACAGCCTGTGTTGTGTTTTGAAGAGGTGAGCAACATATATGTCACCCCACACAGACACTTAGAGGAGTTTAACAAAGGTGATTGTTCTTTGGTGTGGTACATTTCAGAGTCTAATACTACTACTACTTTGCAAAACTAGAAACTTAATATTTATCAACATGGTTGGCGGTGATTCATCTCTAGAGGAAAGGCGCACATTATTCAATACATAGGGGGTTATTTGTAAGTCAGAATGCCAATTTATTAACTCCAGAGAGGATCATAATAGGGTGGTGGTTGATGAACCCATATTTCATTGAGTGGAAACTACATAGAAAACCAAGATTGTTGGGACTTCCCAGGCAGTCCAGTGGTTAAGACTCCACACTTCCACTGCAGGGGGGCCCGGGTTCGATCCCTGGTCTGTGAATTCCACGTGCCGTGTGGCATGGCTAAAAAAAATAAAGAAAAGAAAACCCAGATTGTAAGCCAGAGATGCTTGGTGAGCAAAGGTAGTTAATTAGAAAATATTATGGCTAGTGTGTCAGCACACAGAAATGGCAGGTTTCATTCATTTAACACATAGGACCTTTTCATTACCTTCTGAATCGTCTTATTTTATTTTTAAGCATTTGATCTAAATTTCTGTGTTTGGGATACCAAGCTGTTTATTCTAAGTAAAGACTATAGTTTTTTTGTTTATATGAGAGGTAAGTATAGATTTATTGCTCTGTAATTGCCAAAATACTTTTTACAGAAAATGGAAACCACTTGTTTTTTATATCTTTCAAGAATAGAAAAAGAGGAGATAATTGGTTACGGAATTAAATTAGATAGAAGAGATATTTTCATTTGTGTGTTTTGTAAAACTTTAAAAATAAAAGTTTACTATCAAAGAGAGTAGACTAGGGGCTTCCCTGGTGGCGCAGTGGTTGAGAGTCCGCCTGCCAATGCAGGGGACGCGGGTTCGTGCCCCGGTCCAGGAGGATCCCCCATGCTGCAGAGCAGCTGGGCCCGTGAGCCATGGCCGCTGAGCCTGCACATCCGGAGCCTGTGCTCCGCAGCGGGAGAGGCCACAGCAGTGAGAGGCCCGTGTACCACCCCCCCGCAAAAAAAAGAGAGTAGACTAAATGAACTCTTAACTTCATGTAGCTCTTTGTTCTTTAGTTAGGTTTGTGAGTTTCTCAAAGCAGAGAATATTTTATTTACATCTAGACAGTGACTTGCATAGTATATATAAACGTACCTTAAAAAAATATTTGAATCAAGTGGATCCCTTTTCTTCTGTCTGATGTGGGTATCTTCAAAACATGCCCAGTCTACCTTGACCTTCAAAGACTCCCAAGTATTTCAGAGACTATTTGAATAGTACATGTGCCTGTTTACATATACTTGAATATAATGACAAGGGCATTGATTAGGTGTTTATATGTTTGCTTGATAAATAATAATGGATCAGATGCTACTGCCTGTGTTAGGTTTGGTAGTTCAATATTCTTAACATCTAGAGTGAATCTGTAAGAATGGGCTTACCCTATGGGCTAATTCTGAGAGAAATACAGTAAGAAAATATGAGATATCCTCTTACTCAAAGAATTTGTAATTTTTGAAGAGGAAACAAGACTCACACAGAACATTTGGAATAATGGTAATACCTAACGTTTGACAAGCATTTTATAGTTTTTTCATTCCTATTTTTAAAAATTTAATGCTTATTAACAGTCTTCTGAAATAGATGGGAACCAGTGTCATTCTTTCACAAATAAGAAAATTGAGGCTCAGAGAGATTATCTGATTTACCCGGGATCTCCCAGAAGACTGAATGTAATTAAATTCAAAACATAGAATAAAGATGTCTGAAGAAAAGTCAGAAAGATAAATTATAAATTATAAATTATTATAGAATTATAATCAGAGTAATTGGAGAAGCCGTCATATAATTGGTGAGAATTAAGAGTTTACACAAGGTGTGTATGATTTCTATGGTTAGCAAAGAGAGAAGATGGCAGAAACTTGGATATGAGAATGAGGGAAGTGATTTAAAAGTCAGTGATGGGCTTCCCTGGTGGTGCAGTGTTTGAGAGTCCGCCTGCTGATGCAGGGGACACGGGTTCGTGCCCCGGTCCAGGAAGATCCCACATGCTGTGGAGCGGCTGGGCCCGTGAGCCATGGCCGCTGAGCCTGTGTGTCCGGAGCCTGTGCTCTGCAACAGGAGAGGCCACAGCAGTGAGAGGCCCATGTACCGCAAAAAAAAAAAAAAAAGTCAGTGACAACGTCCAGTTTCAGGAAGATGGAAGAGATATACTTTTCCCTCTTCCTCACACTAAAGTGCAACTGGATATTAGTTATAAAACAAAACAAACACAAGAAAACTGAAACATAGAGGGAAAAAGGTAGACCAGCTAAGGACCTTGGGACCCAAAGAACAACATGGCAGTGTGTTGCTTGGGTTTCATTTTGCTTTTTATGTCTTAGACTGGGTGCTGGAGAAGCAGATAACCCAGAAACACCAATGAGCACAGACAAACAATTCCCAAGAAAGGCCTGCTGTCTCTAACCAGACAACCCGGAAAGGGGCAACATAGCAAGACAGAAAACTTCTAAGCAGTAGTCGTTCTACCACAGCCAGATACCACGGAAAAAAACTGTGGCCCCACCCACACCCACACCAGCAGAGGCTGAGAACCTATACTGTCACCCTCTCCAGGCTGTAATGAGATGCCCTACCCTCCCAACGGGGGTGGTAACAGAGAAGATTGAGTAGGGAGCTGTTACTTCCACTGCTACCAGCAACAAGGTATCCCTTCCTCTCCCTCACCACCCAGGGTAGTGTTATAAGTGGCCTGGAATTTCACTGCCATCCAGAGGTAAGCAAAGCCATATCATTGTGGTGTCATTAAAGCCACCTGGGGAGCAATAATGAGGCACCCCTCCTCTTTCCAGCCAAAGAGGTATCAGTGGAGGCTTGATTGGGGACTGGAAATCCCATCCCTGCCCATCAGTGATGAGGAGCCTCTTCTTTCAGATGTCATCAGAGGCCAAGGGGGAAACCTCAACTTCTACTCCCACCTTGGAGTAACAAGGTGGTATCCTCACTTACTGTACCAAACAGGACAATTAAAACAGAAGCTTTAGAAAGGTCGAGAGCCTTATAAGATAATACCTCAAATGATCACAAATCAATTGAAAATCACTTACCATGCTAAACATTAGGAACACTTCAAATCAAATTTAAAAAGTCAATCAATAGAAATGCACATGAAGATGACATGAAGATGACAATTTGTTAGAATTGCCTAACAAAGGCTTTAAAGCATCCATCATAAAAATGCTTCAATGAGCAATTACAGATATGCTTGAAACATTTAGAATAAAAGTCTCAGCAAAGAAATAGAAAGTCTGAGCAAATAAACAAAAGGTATAAAGAATCAAATAGAAATTCTATAAATTAAAAGTACAAAACCAAAATGAAACTAGCAATGAATAGCATAAACAGCAGAATAACAGGAAAAAAAATCAGTGAACTGGAAAATAGAAAAATGGACATTATTCAGTCTGAACAGTGGAGAAAATAGACTGAAAGAGAAAAAAGGAACATAACCTCACGTACAAGTGAGACTATAACAAAAGATTTCACATTCTTATATGTTTCCTAGAAGAAGAGGAGAAAGAGGGCATAGCTGAAAAAGTACTAAAAACAATAAAGGTTGAAAACTTCAAATAAT